CAACAAAAGAATGACAAATTGAATCTAATTTGGCGCAGTTAATACAGTTCGATATCTTTTATACAAGAGATCAGTTATTGCTTCACTTTTTCCACCAAAACAATTTGATACGTAACCCGATTGTATCTTTCAGATATAATGGAATTAACCCAAAGAGCTTGCAATCTCTTTTAACCTCATCTAATTGTACATCTAAGGCTCTAAATTAAAATAGGTCATGTCTCCAAGATATATCACAAACTGTGACAAAGTGACCAATTAATTCATTGACTCACGCTGCGTCAAAGCACGACAACCCTTAACGAAAATCAATTACAAGCACTTAATCTAATTATATGTATGAAAAGGTGACGTGGAGCGTGTAAGGGGTACTATAGGATACACCTACCCTCGGATGGGACGTAGGGAAAAAAGGGACTAATAGTGTAATAACGTCAGGAGTATAAGTGGACTATAGGTGTCCTCGGAGGAGGGGGAACAAGGACAATTTGTTTGTATTCTTGGCAGCTAGCTTTTTATTTTTGTTACTTTGTTTTTAATAGTTATGTTTATTAAATAATATAGCCCTATAAATCACTCCTGCCTGCTTGCTTGAAAAGAAGGGTGTGCCCCATCAGAGGCAAAGAGCGCTATCACCTTGAGCCAGGCATTAAGGGCTCTGGAATACGTGAGCCAGATCTTTTTATTGTATATCTGTTTTATCATACCTTACATACTACACCAGAAGTCTACTGGTTTCCCCACTTCTTTTCGTTTCAAGACAAAAGAGGGAATATTGTCACCTAGTACACTTCTGCCAATACGATCTGAGCCGGTCCTGGAAGGCTCATTCCCATGTGAGTTGGACCATTGGACACCTACAGTCCACTTATACCCCTGATGTTATTACACTATTAGCAGGGCCGGACTGGCCCACCAGGATACCGGAAAATTTCCTGGTGGGCTGTTGTCACCTGGGGCCGGGCAGACTGCTGGGTGTGCTGGCGGCCACAGGGCAAGCAGTGCTGCCGTGTGTAGGGCAAGCTGTGCTGTCTCTGCTCCCCCGCGCTACTTAATGAGACCGGGGCCTGAATATGACATCATATTCCGGCCCCGGTCTCATTAAGCTGCGTGCTGGGGAGCAGAGCAGAGACAGCACAGCTTGCCCTGCACACGGCAGCACTGCTTGCCCTGCGGCCGCCAACACACCCAGCAGTCTGCCCTGCACGACCCCCTGGCCAGTCGCCCACAGGTAGCATTAATGTGTGTCAGTCTGTCATGGTGTATTTGTCTGTCTGTGCCATTGTGTGTGTGTGCCATGGCAGGTGTGTGTGTGTGTCTGTGTCATGGTGTGTGTGTGTCTGTCTAATGGTGTGTGTGTCACGGTGTGTGTGTGTCACGGTATGTGTGTTTCATGGGGTGTGTACATGTGTGTTTTTAACTCACCTTTCCGCAGGTCACGCAGGGTGCCATGACAATAGAGGCGCCCTTGTGGTTCTGGCGCTCAGTTAGTGAGTCGGAGCACAAGCTCAGAGATTCTCAGCCTGCGCTCTGACAACATTGAAAGTCAGAGCCGTGAAGGAGCGGGTATGGCAAAGAGCTACTGATTAGCATAACATCAATATCCGTTATAAAACCAGGAAAAGGTGGGCATGGATGGTGAACTGATTTGGTGGTGCAATGGGCCACTTGACTGGTTTTGCCCCCCAGGCCTAAGTCTGCCAGCCCTCCCCTGGAGTTTTCTGTCCCATTTTCAATTTATTTGAGTTTTTCGTTCTGGATTGGAGGTATTGGGGGTTGACAGTAAGGAGTTTGGGGGGCATTCATTTAGGATTGGCGCTGCCACTGAAGCTTCTAGGCTGGGAATGTCAGCGCAAGCGGTCCAGAGGATTGGGAGGTGGGCGTTTTGTCTCATATGTTCGTCCTTCCCGCCTCCTAAATAGATGTTTTCTCCTTAGGTGGGAGTGCCCCCAGGGTCTGGGTGATCGGACACTTGTATGTCTTCTGGGCCAGACGGCGGGCAGCTGTCTGTCAGGGAGGTGGGCTGCTTGGTTTCACGCCTTCTGAAGTGGAGGTTCGCTGGTTTGGGAATAGAGGTATGAAGTGGGTCCGGCTTCTCCCTGAGCTAGTTCAGCTTGCCCGGCTTTTGGGTCCACCTACTGTTCTTGTGATTCACCTGGGGGGTAATGATCTCGGGACTATGCCTATTTGGGGGTTGGGGAACGCAATTAAGAGGGATTTAGCGCTGTGACAGAACCATCTGTCTGCTTGGATTTTTACCCCGTTCGTCTGTTTGTCCCCCGTTCGTATGAATGGCTGGTTTCTATAGCCCAGCCATTCGAATGACTCTTTTTCCCGAACAAACCCGCCGAACGAACGGCCACCCAAGTGAGGAGTGTGCTGCTGGTTAACAAAGTGATCCCAATTAGAACGTTGTGGTTAACCGCAGACACTTCTCACTTAAACCGAATTCAGGGTGGTCGTCGTTCGTATGTCGACCATGAGGCAGCGGCCATTTTAAATCACACGAACGGTGTTTGGTTCTAATTCTATGGAACTAAAAACGGACACTTTTTCTGCCGAACACCGCTGAAACAAGGGAACGCCTGGCTGCCTCCACGAAAGCATGCGAACACCGGCCGTTCGGGAGATTGAGAGCATACGAAAAGACTTAACCCAGATAGCCCTCCCATGGAGTCATTCGTATACCGAAAGACTGTAAGAACTTTGACTCCATGGCGATTGAACTATGTGTGTGGGATCTGAGCGCTATTCGCTAATAATATGCACTCAGATCCAGGCTATCTGGGGACATGTAATACGAATGGGAAATGTTCAGTTTTCATGTAGTTATGTATTTTTATGTCTTTTATTATTTTATGTCTAAAATGGCGACTGTCCTTGTCCTGGAGTTAATTGAGTTACTTGGTAATTAACTCCAGGGCAGAGGTGAGGGAATCATAATGCACTGTGGGTAAAATAAGTGACTGTGTGTCTGAAATGTCCCTCTATCTGTCTGTAGTTTAAGTCTCCCATTTGGTCCCCTAGGGGAGTGTCCACCAGGTGGGAGACCTGCATAAATACGGGCAGGTAGCCCACAGTAAAACCAGATTCTGTTTGACCCTCAATGCGGAGCTTCTGTCTCGTTATTGGGGGGGATTTCTTCTTTAGAGACTGCTGGATGGAACGAAAGCCGCTTTGGGGATATTACTGTTCGACGGTTACCAGCAGTTCGTGTATTGCCGTTCGGGAGTTTGGAGCCGTTCGTGGATTTCGATCGGGAGATTGCCGCTTCCCCTGCATTTGGTTCGTATGTTACAGAGTAAGCGAACGGAGACTGTACTGCAGCCGGGGAAGGTTTACTAAATGGCGGTTTTGCCTAAAGACACTGGAGGTGTCTTAACAATTGGTGGCAAGCGACGGGATGAATCCTACAGCACTGGAGGTCAGCTACAAGACATGCAGTACGAGGAATTAAGGCGTGCTACACTTAAGGACATATTGGAACGCCGAGGAAGGTCAGCAAGCAATTTAAAGAAACGGGAGATTATTGCTTTGCTAATGGAGATGGATGCAGCAACGGGAATGGAAAGAGTCAACGTGCCCAGTACCTTGGATTTAACACCAGAGGAAATACAATTTAACCGGGCAGTGCAAATAAGGATGGCACATTTTGGCCCCAACCCCTCAGCTGACATCGTGGTTCGTGTGCAGGCAGCAGTTGCAGCACAGCAGGCGCTCCGGGAAAGAGGAGCTGCAGCAGCAGAGGTACCGTACGATAATAATGTGGTTGCTAGAAAGAAGGTACCTTTTGCTGCATTTAAAAATGTTGTGGAAACGGAGGGAGAGATTGATGGATTTTTGGCAGACTTTGAGAGGCAGTGTGCGCTACATCAGGTACCTGCAGATGAATGGGTCACCATCCTCTCTGGGAAATTATCTGGCCGGGCTAGTGAGGCGTTTCGGGCCATCCCTGAGGAGATCACCAGCTACCGGGCTGTGAAAGAGGCGCTCCTAGCCAGGTATGCGGTGACCCCAGAGGAGTACAGGCGGAGGTTTAGAGAAACCAACAAGCTGGTTGGGGACTCTTATGTGGAATGGGCCTGCAGAGTCCATCGTACCGCAGCCCACTGGATGGCTGGATGCCAAGCGGTAACTGGGGAGGAGGTATTACAAGTGTTCCTGCTGGAGCACTGTTTTGATAGACTACCTGCTGGGGTCCGGGAATGGGTCAGAGACAGAAAACCCTCTACCCTACCCGAGGCTGCCCGTCTGGCAGACGAATACACGGATGCCCGCAAGTTGGATGGTACAGCTGCCAAAGCCCCTGCCAGACTGGAGTATCGACCAGCAGTAATACCCGCTCCTTCAGTCTACCAACCCCCAGTACACCGTACCCCAGCCGCACCACCAGCTAACAATTATGTGCAGACCAGCCCGATTTAATGCCCGTGAGTATTCCCAACCCATCCGGTGCTTTGGGTGCAAGCAGTTGGGGCACAAGCGTCCTGAGTGCCCACTGAACAGTGCCAACCAGGCTCAGTCCTGGAGGAGACCAGTTAATGGAAACCAGCGCCCACCTCAGCCTGCTGTTCACTGCATAGAGCAGGAGGAATTCTGGGGCATCCTACACGAGGCAGACCCAGTGCAAGCAGCTCATCAGGATAATCGCCAGCAACATCGGCAAACTGTGAAGCTGAATGGCAGAGTAGTAAATGGGCTGAGAGACACCGGAGCCACGATGACACTACTCCAAAAGAACTTGGTCTCAGAGCATCAACACACTGGGGACACTGTGGCAGTAAGGGTAGCAGGGGGTGCCGTGTTTCGCTTACCTGTTGCCCGGGTACATTTGGATTGGGGAGTGGGCGCTAGACATGTGGATGTGGGGGTGATGAAAGACTTGCCCGCAGATGTTCTTCTGGGAAACGATTTGGCCCCTTTGGTTTCAGCCTATGCTCCGATGGGCCCTGCAGATGTGAACCCAGTGACCACCCGTGCCCAGACCCGTGCTGCCGGAACCAGCCCACCTGCTGATGAGACCCAGGTAAGATCTCCTTCCCCGACTGGTACCCCAGATCAGGTCCCCTTAAGCTGGGATTCCCCAGAGGAGTTTGGGAGGGAAACCCGGGCAGATCCGACCCTCCAAAAGTACAAAGACAGGGCAGATGCTGGAGAGGAAGGGATAGATGGGGAACAGGTTATATAGGATCCCTAAACCTTCCCAGAAGAGTGTTGCCTCTCCGCCGAATCGCCAGTTAGTGGTACCTGCAAAGTACCGGCAGGAGATTCTGCGGATAGGGCATGATGTTCCATTAGCTGGACATCTAGGGTCCCGCCGCACAGCCTATAGGATCTCACAGAATTTCTTTTGGCCAAACTTCAACCAGGCTGTGCGGATGTATTGCAGCACGTGTGACACATGTCAACGGGTAGGAAAGCGGGGGGACCACCCTAAGGCTAGGCTATTATCGATGCCTATTATAGGGGAGCCCTTTGCCCGCATAGCCGTTGACATCGTGGGTCCACTGGCCAGGGCTAGTCCATCAGGTAAGAAATACGTTCTTACCATGGTGGACTATGCCACCCGCTATCCAGAGGCAGTAGCGCTGTCTAACATAGAGGCAGAGACGGTTGCTGATGCCCTGGTTAGAATTTTTACTAGGGTCGGGTTCCCTAAGGAGATTCTCTCCGACCAGGGAACCCAATTCACCGCTGTGCTCACCCAGCAGCTGTGGAAGGTGTGTGGCATTAAGCCGTTACTTAGCTCACCCTACCACCCACAGACTAACGGTCTCTGCGAGCGCTTTAACGGTACCCTCAAACAGATGCTGAGGACCTTTACAGACACTTGCAGAGACTGGGAGAGATTCCTGCCTCATCTATTATTTTCTTATAGAGAGGTGCCCCAGGAATCTACTGGGTTCTCCCCCTTTGAGCTGCTGTATGGGAGAAGGGTCCGCGGACCCCTAGATCTCATTAGAGGCCACTGGGAGGGGGAGACGGAGCAAGAGGGGACCCCCATTGTGCCATATGTTCTGGAACTCCGGGACCGCATGGAGAAACTGTCCCTGATGGTAAGGGAGAATCTCCAGGTGGCCCAGGGGAGACAGAAAAGATGGTACGATCAGGGTGCCCGACAGCGGGTCTTCCAGGTTGGGCAAAAGGTATTGGTGCTCAAACCTGTGAAGGCCAACAAGATGCAAGCATCTTGGCAGGGCCCGTACAAGGTAGTGGCGCAGATCTGCGACACTACTTACTTGATAGCTAGCTGTGCAGATGAAAGGATCCAGCGGTCCTTTCATGTGAACACGCTGAAAGAGTACCAGGAGAGACCTGAGAATATTGCAGCAGTCTGTGCCCCAGCTGCAGATGATTTTGAGAATTTACCCCTCCCCGATCTATTAGAAAGGGATCCCCAGACTGACCTTACTACCTTGGTACAGCTAGGGGACCAGTTGAACCCCACAGAAAGGGTACAGGCGCAACAGTTGTTATGGGAGAAGCAGGCGACGTTCTCCCAGGAACCAGGTTATACCACCCTAGCTGTGCATAAGGTAGAGACCCCTGGACAGACCCCGTTACGACAGCCCCCCTATCGTATCCCTGAAGCAGTCCGTGAAGGAATGCGGAAGGAGATACAGGAGATGACCCAGCTTGGAGTTATCGAGCACTCCGACAGCCCTTGGGCCTCGCCTGTAGTCCTGGTGCCCAAGAAAGATGGGACCACCCGGTTCTGTGTGGACTACAGGCGACTCAACGAGCGGACCACCACTGACGCCTACCCAATGCCCCGGGTAGACGAATTACTGGATCGTATTGCCAGGGGGCGATATCTGACCACCATAGACCTGTGTAAGGGCTACTGGCAGATCCCCCTGGCCGAGGATGCTATCCCCAAGTCGGCATTTGTCACCCCATTTGGCCTGTACCAATTTAAGGTCATGCCTTTTGGGATGAAAAATGCACCGGCTACCTTCCAACGGATGGTGGATAGACTCCTGGATGGCTTCCAAGAATTTGCCTGTGCATACTTGGACGACATTGCGATTTACAGTGGGTCCTGGGAGGAACACCTGGTACATGTGCTGGATAAGATTAGGGCCGCTGGCCTGACATTGAAGCCAGAAAAGTGCCATCTAGGTATGGCTGAAGTACAGTACCTGGGTCACAGAGTGGGGTGTGGGAGCCAGAGACCAGAGCCAGCCAAGGTAGAGGCAGTGGCTAACTGGCCCACACCTACTACTAAGACCCAGGTATTGGCCTTCTTGGGGACGGCAGGGTACTATAGACGTTTTGTCCCTGACTACAGCGCTATTGCTAAGCCCCTGAGAGACCTGACTAAGAAAAACTTGCCTAAGCAGGTCCTGTGGTCTCCGGCTTGTGAAGCTGCGTTCCAGGCACTGAAGCAGGCTCCCGTGAATGCCCCTGTCTTGGCAGCCCCAGTCCCTAACAAACGCTTTCTCGTCCATACAGATGCTTCCATGTATGGACTGGGGGCTGTGCTGAGCCAAGTCGGGGAAGATGGAGGAGAGCACCCTGTCGCATATCTCAGCAGAAAGTTGTTACCCAGAGAAGTGAGTTATGCGGCAGTGGAGAAGGAGTGTTTGGCCTTGGTCTGGGCATTGAAAAAGTTAAGTCCCTACTTGTATGGGCAAGAGTTTTCTCTGGTGACTGATCACAACCCACTCGTTTGGCTTAACCGGGTCTCAGGAGACAATGGGAGACTGCTGAGATGGAGCTTGGCCCTACAGCCCTACAATTTTACCATCAGCTACAGACCCGGTAAGCTGAATGGGAATGCAGATGGGTTGTCACGACAAACAGACGTTTCCATCACCTCTTAGTCCGGTCATCCCCAAGTTGACCCGCCACAGGGTCAAGCCGGGTCTGCCGGAGTGTCCCACAAGGAGGGAGCCGTGTGACAGAACCATCTGTCTGCTTGGATTTTTACCCCGTTCGTCTGTTTGTCCCCCGTTCGTATGAATGGCTGGTTTCTTTTCAAATAATTTTTATTAAAGTTTTTTTTTTTGTATAACAAATGATAATAATACAAACATTGTATTAAGGGTAGGAAAGGAGGGGTAACATGGAAATGGGAAGGGGTATCCATCCATCAATGAAATAAACATATTAAAGTATATGGCAAAAAGAAAAATGTTTTACAACAATGCACTTTAACAATAAATATATCAAAGACCATAAATTGTTTTGATTTTTTCTTCCCATTTATCCCAGTTGTATTTTAGTATTGGGAAACCATGCATATTGGCTCTGTGTGATAGTTCATGTGCCTTATTTTCTAAAATCAAATTAAAAACTTCTCTGAGAGATGGCACATTTTGAGACTTCCAATGTCTAGGTAAACAGGATGTAGCAGCGATCAGAATGTGGCCTATGATTATTTTATCTGATCTATTAACAGACTCCGGGAGTTTTTTAAATAAGGCTAGTTCCGAGGTTAAGATACTAATGGTTCCGTTCACTTTAATAATCAGATTGTGGATCATTTTCCAATAATTAATTAACTTGGGGCAGAACCACCAGATATGGGCCATATTGCCCAATCCCCCACAGTCTCTCCAACATCGGTCCGAATACATATTGTTCATGTTATGTAATCTAGACGGGGCCAGGTACCAGCGATATAAGATTTTATAATGATTTTCAAAATGGTCGGTGCAATATGAAATACCTTTTAAACCTGTAAAGAAACCGAACCATTCTTCTAAATCGTACTGGGCACCCAACTCCGTCTCCCATGACAGCATATGTTTTAATTTAATTAAGGGCTTGGCATTATGAGATAAGTAACATAAGGATATCATACCTTTACTAGCGGGGCTGTATAAAATAACTTTCTCTAAAGGAGATATCTCAAGTGATTTATAATTTTTATCGGTTTCAGGTACCTGGTATAGTTCTTTCAATTTATCAATGATTATCATACATTCCAGTTCACATGCATTCGACAATCCATACTTAAGCTTCAATTTTTCCAAAGAAAGAATAGCATTGCCATAAAAAAAATTGTCCAGATTAGTTATAGAGCAATCCTTCAATAATTCTATTTTTAAGGATGGTATATGATCTTTCAATAATTCAATAGGCATTGCTCTATATAAACTGGGAGACTGGTCATTTTTAAAAACAATGTCCCAGGCCTTAAGCGTAGTCCTAGTGGATAAAAATAATCTTGTAATTCCAGGTCTTTTCTTAGGATTTAACCAAGGTAATTCTGATAGTCTAACCGGTGAAATTTTTGATTCCTCTATCTCCATCCATCTGGGTTTATCATCCTGGTTGTTAAAGCTCACAACCACTGCAGCATTAGTGGCGAAATAATATTTGCGGATATCGGGGACACCGATACCGCCGTTCAATTTATGGTGCTGCAGGGAAGTGAGCCTCACTCGTGCAGGCTTGTTCCCCCATATAAATTTCAACATTGTCGAATGAACTTTATTAAAAAATGATAATGGAATGGACAGAGGAATGGTCCTAAAAAAATATAAAATTTTGGGGAGTATCGTCATTTTAATAGATGCGACCCTCCCCAGCCATGAGAGCTCCATCCCACCCCATCTCTCCATCTCTTTTTGTAGGTCTGACCATGCTTTCCTCAGGTTGTGATTGTGCATATTGACCAAATTTTTGCATAAATTAATGCCAAGATATTCCATATATTCAGTTCTCCAATCAAATAAATATGATTTCTTAAGGGCAATGGTTTCCAAATTGTTTAAATGAAACGGAAGGGCTTGAGTTTTGGACTCATTTAATTTGTAATACGATATCTCACCGAATTGAGTTAAAATATCCTTGAGGTGTCTCAAAGATTCTTTTGGGTTTTTGATAGCTAGGATTATATCATCTGCAAACAAACCAATTTTGTGAACGGATTCTTTAACCGCAATTCCTACAATTTGTGGGGTTGTCCTAATCAGTTCTGCCAGGGGTTCTATCGCTAAAACAAACAAAATTGGAGATAAAGGGCACCCCTGTCTCGTCCCGTTAGTTAGGGAAAAAGTTTTGGATGTGAAGCCAGAAGCTGAGACATGGGCGGAGGGTGCACAATATAACGCCTTAATTGCTGTGATAAATGATGATGGTATGTTGAACCTATCTAATGTTCTCCATAAATATCCCCAATGTATCCTGTCAAACGCTTTTTCAGCGTCAAGAGATAGAAGCAAAGAAGGCGTTTTGGTCATATTGATGTGCTGAATCAAGTTTATGAATCTTCTAGTTCCATCTGGCGCCTGTCTATTCTGCACAAAACCTACTTGATCTTTATTAATTAACAATGGGATTAGTTTGGTTAATCTATTAGCGAGAACTTTAGAATAAATCTTTGAGTCATTATTAATCAGAGAAATGGGCCTAAAGTTAGGGCATCTATCGGGAGTTTTCCCTGGCTTTGGCAAAGTAACTATTCGTGCGCACAAGGACTCCTCTGGCATCTTTCCCTCGGACTTATAGGAATTGAACAATTTAGTCATATGGGGAATTAAAATTTCTGGAAAAGTTTTATAATATAAAATAGTTAATCCGTCGGGACCAGGGGCTTTTCCAGATGGCATAAGTTTAATTGCCTCAGCTATCTCTGCTGCTGATATTTCACATTCTAAGCTTTCTAAATGTACTGGAGACAGCCGAGGCAATGACACTCTGTCTAAGAATTTATCAATTATTGTTGTAGAAGGCTGGGGGAGGTCCAAATTACATTCTAAATTATAAAGTTTACTATAATACTCTGCGAACATATCACTAATTTTAGTTGGATGAAACACTTTTTGCCCCTGATCATCAAGTAAATATGCTATTTTTGATTGGGCATTCACATGCCGGAGTTTGGATGCCAAAAGAGTTGAGGCCCTGTTACCTTTTAAGTAAAATGTTTTCCTGAGACGTCTCACCATGAGAGATGTACGATCTAAATTAATTTTGTTGATTTTAGCCTTAATTTCTCCTATCGTTGCTGATAGGGAGGACGATGGACCAAATTTATTAGCTTGGTTCAAATTATACAGTTCTTTTTCCAATGTTCTTAAATTATTGCTATTAATTCTCTTCAGGTAAGATGCTCTAGAAATAAAATGACCTCTTAACACAGCCTTATGCGCATTCCAAGTCACCTCGCCAGGAACCTCGGGCGAGGCATTCTCCGAAAAATAATCACACAAAGCTTTCTCCGTCAGTGACTTGTTCACAACATCATTTAACAAATAATCACCTAATTTCCAAGTTCTGTTAGGGGCTGATGAAACA